TTATCTCTGGGGCCAGAAGGGGAATAGTACGGGGGAAATTTACAAAGAGCGCTCTGCAATGCTTTATTTCTTTAAAGCACCTGTTCCTCAAGAAGTGGGTCTACAAGAAATATGGCAAAATGTTAACAAGTATTAAATGTGGACAGTGAATAAAAAGGTAATTATTATATACTGTGTTTTTGTGTGTTTGAAATATTTTATAAAGTACACTGAATATTATTTTACTGAGAATGACTTCAAAACCCGTGGCACCTGGGTGGCTCAGTCGTTAAGCATCTGCCTTCGGCTCAGGGCATGATCCCAGGGCCCTGAGATCGAGCCCCTCATCGGGCTCCCTGCTCTGCGGGAAGCATGCTTCTCCCTCTGCCACTCCCCCTGCTTGTGTTCCCTCTCTCGCTGTCTCTCTGTCAAATAAATAAAAAAAAAAAATCAAAAAAAAAAAAAAAAAAGAATGACTTCAAAACCCAACAATGTCTGAAAAAGGGGAGGGCTAGAAAACGTTGGGGAACTTACTCCAGCTCGCCTCATGACATCTACGGGGATGACTGTCTCCATCTCCTCTGCTCCTTTGGCCAGGATGACCAGAGCTCTTTTCGAAGCCATTTTTATGTTGTATTTTTTAAAGACTTACTTAAAAAAAGAAGAAGAAGAATTTCTAAAAACTTTGCATTGCAACCTTAAAATAGCCCAACACTTCAAGTTTAGGAACATTTTTAAGCAAAATAACTAAGTGCCTCCTACAGAAAACGTCCTGATAAACAGAATGTGAAAAAAGCACTTTAGGGTAATACTGGTTTACACATTCAACCGCTGTATTTTGAGATGCAAACACAGTAAGTTGCTAACACGTGTTAGCACTGTTTGGATTTTCTTTTGCCATGTTTGTTTTTTAAATAAACCCAATATACAATAACTTACTGCAACCAAAATTTTCTAAAACACAAATACATGGGTCTTGCCTTTCCCAAAATGCGGGGAGAGAGTCTTATTTTGGAAATACTATTTCAGAGAAACGACTAAACTTAATTTCATGGGCAAAAAGCTACAGACACAGTCTTTAGCAATGAGCCGGTGAAATTTTTGGAGGGGATTTTCTTTTAAGTTTCAATAACTGCACTAAAAAGTCTGGAAAGTTAACAGTGCTAAATATTTCACATTTTTTTAAATGATGTAGAAAGATGGGAATTCCCCCACTAAACCCAACCCAACTGGACCCGCTCTTTACACTTCAATGTCTCGTTGTAGAGGGCCGCTGCCAGGAGGGGGTCCGGACAGTTTTTAGCCTGTTCTTTTTGTGGAGTTTGCTGTCCATGCAAAACATACGCTAATGAAACCACTTCAGCAAACACAGCATCGAGCAGTTGCAAACTGGTGGGATGCCATGCACACAACCCCGGAGAACACGAGGCCGTTCCGTTGGTTCCTGCCGGAAGGCCGCACACCCCGCAGCCGCAGCGGGACCCCGTCCTCCCGCGCCCCCTTCCGAGGCCCGCGCCGGGCTGCCCGTGGCCCCCTCGCCGGCCGCAGCGTTCCCCATACCCCGGACCGAACCTCGACTCTGTACCCACAGACAAGGAACCTCGGCCCCTTCGGCAGCAATTCCGCGCCGGGGACGACCGAACCACAACCGGACTAAACGGGGACGCACACGAGCACGCACGCACGCACGCACACACGTCGCCCGAGCTCGGGCCCTCAGAAGCGCACTGCGCAGACGCACGCCGCTCAGCTTCTCGTTCTGCCCCGCCCCTCGGTACTCCGCAGACGCCCGCCGCGCAGACCCCTCCATGTTCTCCCCCTCGCCCCCCCGGCCCTGCACTGCGCAGACGCACGCCGCCCGGCTTCTCATTCGGCCCGTCGCCCCAGTACTGCGCAGACGCACGCCGCCCAGGCCCCACCTCCTCCTGCCCTGCACTGCGCAGACTGGTGCCGCTCGCTCCCTTACGTCCCATCCGGCTGAGCCCACCTAGGACAGCCGCCGGGGACGGCTGGCCTTTCCGAGTGTTCACTGTGAGTCCAGGGATGTTTCCATTTGGAACACCCAGCACCACGAGAATCCCGCTGGTTCACGCATCCTCACGAAATCTCCCCCGCCCCGAATGGCGCGGTCCGGCCCGCTGCCGGCGCCCGCTGGAGTTAACCCGCTTGTCGCCGCAGCCTGGAGGCGCGCAGTCCCCTCGAGAGCTGTGGCGGTTTGCTGTGAAGAGGCGTTTTCATGGAGTGGAATTGTGCCTTCACGCTTCTTCCGCGCACTCTGTGTCCCTTTCCTGGAGCACCTTCCCGTGTCCCCTCCGACCTATTATGATTTAAAGGGGTTCCCGATCTTGTGTCCCACCGGTCCCCCGAGCCTGTGCGACTCTTAGCATTTGTGTGCGTGCGTTAATTTCACGTGTGTTAGTTTCTCAAGGGTGTTTTATCCCAAAGATCCCAATGCTGCTTCTGCACCCACACGGTTAGAGCACTGCTGAGCACATGGACCTGATAGTTAAATTAAACAGTCCCATGGTCCCCATCCAGTTCCATCCCTGCTCCCAGGCTCCTTGCGGGTAACGTTATATTAGTTTCCTGAGCATCTTTCCAGGATTTCCTTATGCAAGCACAAGCAAATACATTGTTTTACTTCTTTCTTAGAGAAATGTACCAGACTACATACATTGTTCTGTCCTTCTCTCCCTGCCACCACCTTATTAAGTGAATATGTTGGAGATCTTTCCTTATCAAAAGGAACTTCCTTTTTTTCAGATAGTATGCCATTGTGACATGTCTCATAGTTTATCGGTGCCCTACTGATAACACTTAGGTTATTTCCAGCTGTTTTTTGTTTTTTTAGAGTAGGCTCCCAGCCCAGCATGGAGCCCAACCTGCAGCTTGAACACTCAACCCTGAGATGAAGAAGACCTGAACTGACATCAACAGTCAGATGCTTAACCAACTCAGCCATCCAGGCGCCCCTGCAGTCATTTTATTGTACAGACAGCATTGCATTGAATCACCTTATTCATACGCCCTACTTGTGTAGGTAAAACTGGAGGGTAAATTCCCAGAAGTGGTAAATACATTGGAGCAACTCCGTACCAGTTGAGTCACTTACCACTCTTGCCAGTAATGTGAGGTCAAACAGTATTTTAAATATGTCGGTGTTTTTGAAATTTACGTTTAGCTATTAAAAACATTTATTTTCAAGAAATAACTTACATTCCTTTGTTAGTTGACAGAGCACTTTAATATATTTCATGAGATCCTTACAATGATGGTTAGAGTGGTTTTTAATAATTTTAAGAATTGTAAATGTATAAATTGCAACACCGCATTGTGCAAAATTTTTAAGTGTCTTTAATCATTTGGCATTTTAAGAAAACATTTTGGGAGTTCTGGAATAACTTCATCTTTGGTTATTTGCAAAGGAAGCAGGCAAAAGTCACCCCCTTTCAGTTTTGAAGTATGGTGGGAAATAGGCAAGTGGTCAGATGTGTGTTTCAAAAACCAAGGAGGGATTTAGGTAGATGAAGGAGAACCAAGCGCAGATGGGCTGTTGTGTTCCAGTGCCGGTAGTAAACTCTTATAAGGAGACAACCATGCTGGTGGCCTGCTGCAGCATGAGATAGCCAGCACAAAACAAAAATGGCAAGACAGATAGTCTTAGCAGTGAAAGGGAGAGAGAGAATGAACCTGACTTAACACTCCTGAGACGTCTGCATCACCATCAAGATCTGAAATGGACCTGGGTCAGCATCGATTTTATCAAAGAATACACTGCATGCAGCGTTTACAACTCAAGTATTACTTCTTTTAGAAATATTCACTCTTTCCTCTTTCACCTTCTGAGTGGAGGATATTCCCTGCCCCTTGACTTTGGCCTTGTTTTATTTATTTTTTTAAGATTTTTACTTTATTTATTTGAGAGAGAGAGCAGGGGGAGGGGGCAGAGGGAGAAGCAGACTCTCTGCCAAGCAGGGAGCCTGATGGGCTCGATCCCAGGACTCCAGGATCGTGATCTCCGCTGAAGGCAGACGCTTAACCAACTGAGCCACCCAGGCTTCCCAGGTTTGGCCTTGTTTTATAGCTAATAGAATGTTAACAGATGAGGCCAGAGCAAAGCCTTGAAAAGCATTGACCTGGTGACCAGGCTTGCTCTCTTGTACTTTTGCACTTTTACATGAAGAGCTTTCCTCCAGGGCTGCTGCTGCTGCCCATTCAGTCTGGGTTTCAGAATGAACACATGTGGAACCTGTACCTGTGCCCGAGGCAGTCACCACAGCCAAATGGCAGACCGTAGTACTCAGATTTTGTTATGCCGCGATAGCTCAGTGATTAGGCTTTAAAAGGCTCATAATGAAAAACAGCAGTCTTCTGACTCAGTCCTTTCTACCCCTCAACCCTGCTTTTCAGAGGCAAATATTTTCAACTCTTTAAATTATTTCTTGTAATTGTCTCAATACAGTTGACCCTTGAACAGCATAGGCTTGAACTACGTGAGTCTGCACAGATATTTTTTGATGAACACAGTTCAGTACTCGAAATCTATTTTCTGTTATGATTTTTCTTTTATTTGAAAGAAAGAGCGAGCACAAGTAGGCGGAGGGGCAGACGGAGAAGCAGACTCCATGCTGAGCAGGGAGTCCGACAAGGGGCTCAATCCTGGGACTCCGGGATCGTGACCTGAGCCAAAGGCAGACGCCCAACCAACTGAGCCACCCAGGTGTCCCTCTTAGGATTTTCTTAACATTTTCTGTTTTCTGGCTTACTTTATATAATGAACAAAATATGTGTTAATTGACTGTTTATGTTATTGTTTATGTTATTGTATGGTGTCCAGTCAGCAGTGGACTATTAATAGTTAAGTTTTGGGGGAGTCAAAAGTTATATGCAAATTTCTGGCTGCACAGGCTTGGGGGGACAGGGGGTGTTTGGTAGCCCTAACCCTTACATTGTTTGAGTCAACTGTATTTTTAAACAATATGCTAATACTGTTATTTTTCCTTATTGGTTTAGACATTATATATTAACTTCCTGGAAAACATACTTTTCATTTCACAGCTGCAGAAGTTGGAGTCTGGAGGGGTGAAATGACTATAAAAGGTCCTGCAGAGTGTTGGTCAAATTCAGATATTCTGATACCAAAGTTCACACTCTACCCACCATAAACTCTTACAAGTATTAATAAGTACACAACACCCGTGACACTCTCTTACCTTTCTAGTTCATACCTATTTCTCATCACACATTTGCAGAATAAAACAAAACATTAAACCATCCACCAAAAAATGTTGCTCTATTACTGGCAGTGAGGATACCTCCTAATTCAGTCCCTGATTTCCAGGCAGAAAAACCTCATCCTATTCACTGTTTTTTTTATTCAGCATTTGACAAGTCTTTATGCATTGTAAGAAGTGCAAACTAAAAGTCTCTGGCTGTTTTCAGGGAGCCTAAAATCTCCTTTTTCTTGCAGCATTTGCAACATTTCATTAAAAGATACTGTTCCGCCTTGGTGAGCTCCTAATCCAGCAATGGAGAAATGATATTGATAATGTGAGTGAAGGAGTTTGGGACATGCTACCTCCAAATATGTCACCTTGGCATATTGATTAATTTGAGCTAAAGGCATTTTTTTAAACAACAGGTGCAAAAAAGGCACTCAGATTCCCATTTTTTCATCCTGAAAGGAGAAGATGAAACTCTCAGGTGAGAACTGTGCTTCCAGTGCCAAGAGGAAAGAAACAGCACCAGAGAGGCACTTGAGTATGGAAGAATTTGCACATGGAGACCTTGTTAAAATAACTCCTATTCCTTTAGTCTCCCTGTTCTACTTTACTTTTCCACAGTTGCCACTCTTTGTTCAACCCAGTATGTAAACATTTAGCTTTGCCACCTCTTTGGGTGTTCGTCTTCTTATGAAGGCTCCTGGGTCTCGTAAAATTTGCATTAAATAAATTTGTATGCTTTTGTTCTGTTAACCTTTTATGTCCATTTAATTCTCAGGCCCTGCCCACCGGAGACCCTAAGGAGGTAGAGGTGAAATTTTTGCCTGCCCTACATTAACAACAGCCACCAGTGGCCATTCTGATCCTGGTTCCAAAAAACAACCCTCCCCCAAAGTAAACTGGTCACAATAAATATTAAAGAAACTGCTGCTGGGTTGCTTATTTTTCCACGCATCCCTTACATTTTGCATCTCATCTCACTAAGTACTCATTTTCTATGAATGTGGGTGTATCCTTTATCTCCTTGATAAGTACTTAACATCTTGTCTTTTGTTTACTTACCTGTTTCCCTCTAATCCTGTGAACTCAGTAGGACCTTCCTGTCTTGGTCACTGCTGAATCCCTACCACCTACTACAGTCCCGGGCACATAGCAGGTGCTCAATAAATACTTGCTAAGCATTGTCTTAGTTTCACCCTAAAGATGTTCCCTCCTTTGACTATGGCTATAGATTAATAGTTTATATTTGTAGGACACTAGAGTTTACAATGGGGCTCCAACCAATTTCTTATTCCTATTTTAATCTTTTCCACATCAAATTCATTTCGCCACACAGCGAATGGGAAATTTTATGTGCAGCGGATAGGGTCACTTCATTTTCACCCTTTTCTAGGTTCACTAAAAAGGGCGAAGGGCTAAATTGCAGTTACTGGGTATAAGGAAGGCGTTTGCGGCATTGAATAAAGGTATTTTTCAACATCCACTAAAGGCTGGTTCGGGGCAAGCTCCAGAGAGGTC